TTTTCTTTTGTAGTTGTAAATGAGATCAACTATGTCTCCTCAATTTTTTGCCAGTGTTTTGGGTTCTCTCCCTGTCCCCCCCCAATCCACTAGGTCTTTAACATCCTCCTTTACATATTTCTAGAAACCTGACTAGCTCTGAAAACAAACCAGGTGCTGATTTAAATAAGCATTATGAATGCAGCTAAAGGAAATGGCTCCTGGGGCAGAAGGTGCAGGCTCTGGGGAACAGAAGCCTAAGACAAGCCGTCCTGGAAAGGCCTTTAGCAGGCTGAGGCAGGCAGAAACCCTTTGCAGGCAAAGTTGTTCCACAGGAACCTCACAACTTGTCTTAGGTTCTGGCTCTGGCTCTGCCTTGCTTTAAGAAATTATTTTTGGAAAAAAAAAAAAAAAAGAATCCAAAAATACACAATTAACTCATCCCAAAATAACAATTATTCTAATGGAGAGGGAAACAAAATATCCTTTGGTTTGCTCTCCTCTGGAGGAAATGTTCTTCATATGTAATACTTCAGTTCCCCATTTCATTTAAACATGAAGACGGGCGAGAGTTTTAATGGTGATTTCCTGCATACATGAAGAGGCTGAGGTTTACACAGAGAAGTCCTGTAACTTCCCTTCTCCTTTTGAAGTGAAGCTGAAGCGCATTACAGCGTGCCTGTAAGGCCAAGAGTCTGACTGTGTATTTTGGCATTTGAGTGCCAGACTGGTTGGTAATTTCCCCCTAAATCCTCTCATAGCTCAAATTCCTGTTGAAAGAACCTATATCTCCATAGCCGCTGGTTTACCATGTGGAGTCTGTCTCCGCTATCTGTGGCTGCTCCACCATTCAGTTTACCCCTCAGAAGCAATGCCATTTTATGTGCTTTTATTCAGTTGTGTGCAGCATATATTTAAAATGAAATATTGGCCGAAACCCCTCTGGATGGCTGTCAGATCTTTGCATGCCACATAAATATCAGTGTGAAAACATTCCTCCCAGCCCACACAGAATGCATCTAACACTGTTTGTTCTGGACAAAACCAGCCCTAATACAGCAAGGCCTTCAGCAAAGGACCACTTTCAGTGGGTAGGGCCCTGTCTTAAACTGACCACTTTAAAGTGCTCTGAAAGTTTCCAGTATAATTTTCATTACCCTTTAGTTACAGACCACCTTTACTAGGTAACTAAGCTTGTTTGCCAACCCATTGGGTAGCTTCCATCTAAGCAATTGCCTAGGTGGACTGCTGCCAGCTTTCAACTACTTCAAGATGTTAGTTACCTGATGCACTCAGGCTCTATGTGGCCGTAGCGATGTTCACTGTGCTGCTTACCAAGCAGATGTTTCTCTGTGGTACCTTCACATCTTTATGGCTGCACAGGGCTGGTTTCCAAAGGACCTCTCTGCTGGAATGCCAGTCGAGTGCTATTTGCACATATTTTTTGCAAGGATATGCACTTTATACGCATTAAGACATGAGTGCAGCTCTTTTGTGGTTACCAATACGGCTAAAGAAGTGTTTATGTCTGCAAACCTCACCAGGGCATATGGCCTTCAACCATCACAGCAGATAGGTAACCAAAATTGTCAATGGCCATGGGAACACCCAGCTGCCATCAGCGGGGAGCCCAGGCACGCCACCTGCTACTACAGCAACTTAAAGCTTGAAAGGAGTATGTGCTTCAGTGCCTCCAGAGTGAAAACTGCAAAATCCATTTGGACTGCGCTCTCTCAAAATAACACCACAAATGTGGAAAGGGGAAAAAGGCAACTGGCAGAGCTAGAACTATAAAAAGAATTAATTTCTGATGCACACCTGTGCAAAGCACTCAGATGAGCTAGAGATAAGCATGTCATTACACATATGCAGGATCTGAAAGTTCAGACAGCTTCAGCCCTCAAGTGATGAGGGTGGTGAGGCACTGGAACAGGCTGCACAGAGAAGTTTTAGCTGCCCCATCCCTGTCAGTGTTCAAGGCCAGGTTGGATGGGCTTTGATCAACCTTGTCTAGTGGAAGGTGTCCCTGCCCATGGCAAGGGGGTTGGAACTGGATGAACTTTAAGTTCCCTTCCAACCCGAACCATTCCATGATTGTATGATTCGATGGCACTCTGAGAGCTGATGCCAGCATGGCTCACGTTTGGCAGTGCCGGGCTCTTCCCTCGACCCTCATCTTTTCCGGGAAGCTGCAAGGGCAAGGGATACTCCTACCACCCATCTGGCAGAAGCTACTACTTACTGGGAAGTGTTGCTGCTCACGTGAGTCTGTTTAGCAGAACTCAGGCTTATGCAGTAAGAGATGTGCAGGAGGGTCTGGTTTTAATTCTACAGATTTAGGTCCTTTAGGTAAAGTCTCATGGAGACGGAGGAAGAGATGAAAGAAATAAAACAGCAGTGCTCCAGTGATACTCAATTATAGGTAGGCAAAAATACATGCATATGAGCTTCCTGTGGCAAAATGTATCAAAGCTAATAAAGATTATAGAATGCAACACCTCTTACCTTACACTTTCTGATGCACCCAACTCTCTCCCCCCATACCTAAATGCACATGTGATCTCCAGAATTTCATCTATCCTGTCTTACCGTATTTGTTTAGCAACACTCAGAGCAGTGAGAGTATGAGTGGCAATGGCTACAATGGCTGTTTTAATAAGCTCATCCATAGGTTGCACATGACTGCTACAACAAAGCTTTCTTGAGCAGCTGCTTAAGAAAACAGCCATGTGCTTCCACTCAGACATGCTTTCCCCAGAACAATCAAGGGAAAGCAATGAGATTGCCACCCTGGGTCCCCCGAGCATGGAAAGTAATAATTTTTCCTTGGATTTTGTAAAATTATTTTTCCCACGCATTTACTCCTCAATCCTATCCTTGGGTCAGCTGAGAATGCTGAGTGGTCTGAGTATGATGAAGTTTTTAGGCTTTGGAAAGCACAGCTTAAGGAGAGTGAGGTAACAGTATAAGCAATGTGGAAAGACTTGACAGTTTTGTAGTTTAATTACTGGATATATTTCGAGGTTTCCAAGACTTGTGTTTTTTTTTAAAAAAGGATCAGTTTGGCTAGAGGACTGAAACTGGATCAAATCCTTCTTGCATCCCCACCTAAAACTGAGACTTGGGTCTCCGGGTTCAGAATCTTGGAAATAGAAGTCTCCCTCCTCACATGTAATTATGTATAGTTTCTGAAGAGGTGAAATGTCAACATTATGAAGAGATGGAAAATACATTAAGAGAGAATGAGTTCATCTTCCTGGTACAGAACAGTCCGTTCATAGTAATGGGATTATGACAGCATCGGACATTTGAGAAAATCTATACTGCTCTGTCTACTCTATTTGATTTGTATACAAATGGATTTCCGTTCCCAATAATGGCTTTCTCTGAGATGATACTGCAAACTCTAAAATGGGAAATAAAACCAGAATTTTGGGAAGATAGGACCTGCTATATTCACTCTGTGAAATCACAGCTTGCTATGCAGTCAGAAATTTGGAGGAGGTATTGATATAGCTCTGAGATGGTAATACTTGTCGAGTTCTCTGAGACAAAAAAATCAGATTACCTAAATGCAGATGACCAAGTTGTGGCATTGTTTACATGTCTGCTATTTCTACCTGCAGGTGGGCAGGAGGAGACAAGGACCTGGTGTGGATTTTGCTCTGCTCCACAATCTTGGCTGTGGAAAGGTGCAGGGAGGAATGAAAACCTGCAGTCAGTTTTACTGAAGAGTATAGCTGATGACTCATCTTCCTAAATCCTTTAGACAGCATAAATGGTACTGCCTTCTAGCACAGGTTCTTCACTGCACCGTTTGCTGATGTTGACCATTGAATGCTTTCTCATGGGCAGTGACCAGTCTTATAAACATCTAGTGTAAATGTATAAGCAAGATTTTCTGAAACATCTTTATATATATACACTCTATGTAGTAGTAATATTACAAATATGTAATATTGTGCATATATATAGACATATACTGTAACAAGCACTAGCAGGATAGCTCTCTTGTAATGTGGTTCAAGCAGATTTGTATGCAGTGTAACAGATTATCAGGCATTTTTTTTCTGAAGATCTTGGGCCGCCCTATAGGTACTGGCAGTTCTATAAAGCTTCGCTGCCTTTGTTTGAAAAATCTAGGAAGAAAAGCTACTCCTTGTCCTATTGAAATTGTTTCTGTATTGCAAGTTGTAAAACACAATAAAGCAAAAACACATTAATGAAAGGCAAAATCCACAATCCATGAAAATACCAGCAATTAACAGATTAGACACGCATGTGGGTTAAGATTTAGAAAGGATAAATTTGCTTTTGTGAAGAAAACATCATTTTTGGGAACAAAAAAAACTCCAATGTGATGTTGTGGAATGAGAAGGGATAAGCAAGAAATCAGCATGAAAACTGAATTATAATGCATAATAATATGGTTATATTAGAAAAGTAAATCTTGTTAATAATGCATCTTAAGAGCTACGCTTCAACTGGAGTGTTTATACAACTGTGTCACACCAGCCCAATCCCATAATCACTGCTCCTACCTTTCCTTTGACACATACACTGTGCCACCACCTCTGCACGCATTGTATACCACCATTACCTGTTCCAGCAGGGTTTTGCTACTCTTAGATTGGTTTATATGGCTAATTATGAATCTAATTCTGAGTATCTAATCCACTAACTGGGGTATGCTGCTTTTTTGGACAGATCCCGTGGATTTCATGGGGGTTTGGGGAGGCTCAGGAGGTCAAGGGTATATACCATCTTTCTGAATTGCAGCCTTTGTCAAAGGCTCTGGAAGGGCACCGAACGCCACCTTTTGCACTTTCCTGTTACATTTCCTGACTCAAAAAAGCCACTTTGACAGAATTCCACTTCACCACAACTGAAGTACCGTATTTACATATAGAAAGAATATTTATGCCATAATGTAGGGATTAGCTCAATCTCTATGCGCATCTATCTCTAGTGGGGCATGAACAGCAAAGAGTAGCCTGCAAATATACCATATAGAACAAATATTTTGGACCTATGATACAGTTTATTACTTTTACTGAAATCACAGAATCAAATGTGTTAAGATTACAACTGGTAAATTATACATAAGTAGTAGTTTACAAACCAAAATATTGGCCTTCAATGTCTCGTAGTACAGTGTAGACCTTGTACAATTCAGTTCAAATTAATTTGTATTTTGCGTAACATTATTTATAATGTAAACGGGCTGACACAGTAGTGCTCTAAAGATATTAACTCTTCCATTAGACACATATTAGGATGAAAAAAAGTTTTGTGACACATCTTGTTTTTTCAAAGGGTACTGGAACTTCAGCCGAATTATCTGTAATGCACAAAGTGACACTTCCCAGAATATACTGACACCAATAGATGGTATAAAGAGGCACATGAAATAATCTAAGATAAACCAAATGCGTGCTTTCCTGTTAGTCTTACCTATAGTACCTCTCTTGCTTTATCTTATCTGATACTAGGCAGATGACCTGGGAATATAAATCAAATGGATTTATTGCTAAACAGGAGTATACGCTGTCTCCAACATACTTGAATTCAGTACATTATTTCCTCTATCTGATGGGATTCTAACAATTTATATATGCTTGACTGTCAGTGAATATGTTTTGCACAATAAACTATCTGAAAATTTCACAGTTCTCATGACAAATTGTGTAAACCAGTTCCTATAAGTTAAAAGACAAATTACGCTGTCACTTAAAGTGGTATAAGTCTGAAGCAGCTCCTGCAAAGCCAAATGATGTAATGAAGTTACTCTGAATGTAAGTAAATATACCTAAAACCAGTTTAACTATTTTGCCCTGTGAGTGGAAGTAATGGAGATCCAAATACTCATTTGTGCACATACATATATCTATACACATGCACACACAAAACCCAGGGATTTGCATTTAGCCACAGTAAAGTTCTACATGTGCCCGTACGTATTTCAAATGAACGACACAAGGTTAATGTGTGTGGAAATGGTTTTAGTGTCCTTACAGTGACTGTGAGCCTCTGCAGACAATTTTCAGGGCAAATGACATTGTGAGTTTTGTTTTTGGACAGTATCAAAATGCTTGGTATAGTGTGTCTGAAGAGATCTTACACCACTCACCTGGCACACTAAGAGTATGTTTGGGGTGTTCCAGATTTCGTATTTGGAATACCCCACTATCACTGAAAACTTGCACTTGCAATAATGTCTTGTAAACCCCAAAGCTACGTTTTGTGGAGCCAGTGAGGACCTAATAATTTATCTTACATTTAGAGTCTTTACTGGTACACATGACAAATCAGGAATACCTGTATATACAACCTTATTCAGAACAAGTATGTTGAAGTAGCTCTACTATACAAGCTAGTGCCAGTGTACCCACAATAGAAAAACCTCTTGAAAATGATACAAACGACAAGTGTGAACGCAATGATGTGTTCTGGCAACTCTATAAAAACCAAGCACTTCATTAAAAAAAGACCAACCTCCTTCAAACCAGCAACTTTTTTTTCGGAAAACTGCAGCCCATACTCAGAGAATCTAATTTTGGCTCTTGCTATAGGCTCCATTTTTCTCAGTGACAAAGAACAGCATGGTATGCATCAGAATGAGGAGAAACACTCACCTAAACATACTGCTGAAAACCCGCAATTATTAATGTTCCATCCTTACAAATCTCCTTTAAAGCCTGCCCTATAGATCATCAAAGTCAAGGCTTATAGTCATTCCCTGGGATTTTTGAGTGGATCTTAAGTGAGGAAGTGTCACCCTCTGGCCATCACAGATTCATCTAAAGCCTTGTAGCTGTCTCTGGGTCTTTGGTAGTGCCTGCATGGCAGCAGACCCTGGGCAGAGGGCCTGAGCTGGAATTTAACTGGTGTGAATGTGGGCACTGATTACCAAGATAACTTCCAACAGTTTGAAATAGATTGCAGTCTGTAGTACTGCTCTTACAGTGAAGTGGCTACAGAAATAATTTGTTTTGTTAAATAAATTGACTGTAGAAAAGCTGCAGGTTTGCCTACATTTTTTCCCTTACACTGGACCCACACAAGCTCTCTTGAGTTCAGCAGTAGTTGGACTGGATGAAAAGTGGAAGCAAACATACTGTTATTTTTAAGGAAACACTGGGAACATGTTTTGCTGGCTTTTCTGCATCTAACTGTGAGTGATGTGGTGCAAAGAGCTAGAATACAATGAAGTTAAACATTGCAAATCCTTCCAAATTGGGCTTTTGACTTTTTATAGCCATATATACATATTTATATACGTATACAAATAGTGAAAAGACCGGATAAGTAGCCTTCTTAATGGTTCAGTCCTCATAACCCAAATCATACATTGATTCAGCTATATTTTTAAACAGGCACACATGGGTTTCTCTGTAGTGTTTTCACTTAAACATAAGAAGCATGAGATAAGACTCACTTACCACCCTGACAACTCAGATAAACTTCATTCACATACAGAGGATTACCATTTACTAGAAGCCTGAACTTGCTTCTGTTGAGCACCAGCTTTGGTGGTAAATCAGTGAGGCACACAGCATGAATTACATCTGCCTATGTGAAGCAAGTCTGTTGGCTGACTTCTTCAGGAGCTGGTATGGGTTTTTCTCTTGACTTGCTAGTTGAGTGAAATGTAACAAGGAGCTTTGAGCTTGAGGTGCACAAAATTACAAATCTGCAAGTTCTCTAAGAAAAAGATGGTAGCAGAAAAAAGAATATACATCTATACTGTGTGCTCACATGTATACACATATACTCCTGTTCCATGCAGAAAACTAAATAAAAACATACAAAAAAATAACCAGTGCCATATATTATGTAAACTCACAAGGCGTACTTTCAATACAAATTTGTAGCATAAATTAAAAGAGAGCAAGAAAGAGAGACAGAGACGATAGCAAAATATTTTAAATATAGAATTTGCACAATTGGTATTTTTGTTAAATAAGAATAAATAAATTCATTACATCCATTCACATACCAGTTGTAAAAACAATAAATTATTTTATTTTTTTCAGTGCTGTGTTGCTTTTTGTTTGTTTTTAAACATTTATGATTAATTCACAAGATTATTCCCTCTCCCCCTTGTGATAAAACTGTTTCCACAGGAGGGCAGCTAAATTTAATTTCTTGTATACATCTTGTCAAACCAAAGATGATAGGCTTTTTCCTAATGAGAATCTCTTATCTGAAAGCAGATACTCTAAAACCCACTAATGCTTAGAGGTCCAATTCCACCTAAGGGCACTGGAGACATGTTCCAAAGAGTCAGCAGTGAATTTAACACTGAGGATCATTTCTTTCTATGCAAAAACAACCCACAGCAGTCTGGGTTTCAACACTCTAGATGCATTTTACATTTGGCAACACTTGGTAGTAACGTAAACAATGACATAACAGTGTGAGTGACAAAGAATTTAGCTGAGAACAGAACCTGAAATTACAAGGTCACATACATACCTTGCACCTATTTTCTAATCATCAGTTATATGAGATAGCTATGACCGAGGAAAGCAAGGTTTGGAACTGGAGTCTGATTAAAAAGAACAGCTAAAAAGGGCTAATTAGAGCAGGCTGACCTGGCTTATCTTACACTTTTAGGCTTGCTTCCTCGCTCTGTCTCCTTTGCCCTCTCACCACAGAAAGGCAACTTGCTTTTTGCTCATGTTAATTTGCTTCATTACTAGGCTGGTGAAAAGGGAAAAGTCATTATAGTGGTTTATTCTCATACTTATCTATTTTTTTATAAATAAACTCTTTCTATGAAAAAGATACCCTTGATCTAAGGAAGCTTTAAATTTATACCCACGTCTGGTATTGCTCTTCTGGAGCCTGAATAGCATCCAAAAGCTTTACTCATCCTGTTGAGTATCAATTATTATTATGATGCAAACACAAATACTTGCACATTTTGTCTCTTGCACATTATAAAATACAGGAAAAAAAAATGCCACTTAATACTGCAGCTGTACGCCGAGACAAATGTTAAGTCTATGCCGAGACACGTGAAGTGTCCTTATTTCTCCTATAATGATGGTTTCTATTTGTTATAAGCCTTTTTGAGAGGTGCTAGAACACATGTAATACAGATATAAAAATTAGATTACTGGAAAGGAAAATAAGACACTTCAAAGGGAGCTTACATTAATAGATAGAGAAGGCATAAATTTTAATCATTCCGTATCTCTGCAAATATCTCTGCAGAGCCTCAACCTCAGTTCTTAGGATGGGATCAGAGATTAAGTGGGGAATTTTCCTCAAGATCCACTGTTTTGCATAGGGCTACTCCAAAAAAGAAGGCCAAAGCACTTCTGAAAGCTGAAGATGACTAGTAGCATTCGCTGGTAATTCATTTTGACAGAGGAAGAGGCCCTGCCCCTATTATTGTTTATTTAGAACATGGTACAAAGGTTTCTCCAGGTTTCACACTTGTAGATGTAGCAATGATGTTTCGAAATCATCACATGCTTTCTAAGAGTTCATAAAAACATGCCGCTGTTACAAAAACATGTTTGTGTCAGCCTGAGTCAGACCTGCCCTTCTTGCTACAGAGGCCAACGTTTTCTCTACTGATTTCATGACTGGGATTTTCAGAAGACCCTGGGGTATTTCAGTGCTCAAGTACCAGTGACTTACAGCTGTAAGGCTTGTCTGACAATCCTCCTGCAGTCTCATACTATCCTATGTGGATGGTCAAAGAAATGAAAGACGGAATTCTATTTTCATCAGTATATTCGAACCACTTTTGGTACCATTATTCTAGGGCTGAATTCAAAGCCTGCTGATAGAAAAGCAAGTTAATTTTAGCAGGGTTGCTATCTGGCCTCCTCCTGCCACCTGCATACAGTGAAATGCCCATCTTCAGTCACAGAACTTCTACCTACAATAATGGGATTCAGAAGTTACTGCCAATGAAAACTACTACCTGCTACTGCCTGTACTGTGGAAACAGTTTTATTGATATTGGGCAAGTCCTCCACATCCTGATGTGGTTTGACTTCCTAGTGACCCCTTTTGCTCTCAAATGTGGTAGATATACAAAACATGAATGCCTTCTAGAGCTTTAAAAAAACTCCAAACACACACAAAACAATCAAAAAAGACAAATAGTTACAAACTTTTGCTGGTAAGATGAATACCAGAGTTAGACATGATGGACAGAACAGTGATAAAATATTAACTGCTTGCTGTGTTTTTTCTGACTTTTATAGCCTCTTAAAAAGATGTAGGTATATTACACATTGTTAGATCCAAGGTGGAAGCCATAGTGAAAATAACAGAGAAAGCAGTCGAACACAGCCTCAGAATATCTGAGTTAGAAGACACTTGATTATTTTACCTGTAATTTTTGGTTCTCTAACTAGTTTCTACAAAATACAGTATGCCTTTGTTTTATTGAAAGAAGAAACTAGCAGCTATTGTTCATTGACAAGGACCCCAAGCAGTGACACAGCCAGAACCAGTGCCAGGTGTACAAGCAAAGTGCACACAAATCCCCCCTAGCAGCGAAATCCTCCTCCTCTGTGTGTCTGACATACACATGGTGAGGAGTTGCTGATGGTGCTGGTATTGGAGCAATGCACATGTGGGGATCCCTGGTCTGCAAGCTGCTGCAGTGCTGCTTCTGAGAGTTGGTGGTGGAAACAGTATTTGTCACAGAATAATGATCTGCTACCAGGAAATTCCTAGCACGAAAATGTGTTTCCTTTTGTCAAAACCAAAAGGTGTAACTTTTTAAAACCAGTAGCAAGCTCTTCGTTTTCCAGTAAAACATCTGCAGCCCCTTTTGAAGAATGGACCAAGTCCTCAAGGGCTGCAGATATACTTTGGTCTATTACTTTGCTTATTGTCTTTTGATCTTTTAATAGAACCAAGTGATATAAAGTGACATACCAAATGAAAGATATTTACAAAACAGTATAAAATAAGCTACTGTGGTATCATGGGTACATGTGACATTTTCTAAAGATATACTGTATTAGAGGTAGGTGAAAAAGGGGAGATGATTCTGTAACCTTCAAATATCCCAGGATCCTCCATTCACTAGTTTTTCTTCTTTTGCATCATTTTATTTTGGATTTTTGCAGACACAGAGGGCTTGTAACAAGTTTGATACTTAGTTTTTTGACATATTAAGATAACCCTACTATTATTTAAAGCAGTGCACATCTTCATTTGGTCCAAATAGGCAGATTCTGCCCATAATTTGAGACTGTATGTAAGTACATTGAAGCCTTTGCTTCTCTCTGTCTGGGCAGACCTAATACCAGTATGTCAACAATGGCTTAATCAAACCTCTTGTAAAGAAGATCACAACCACAGGTTAACACTTTTTCAACAAGCACTGTTTAAATGCTGATGGTCTCTGGGAGAGAAGACATCCTTTAGCTAATTTTCCATGCCCGTCTTTGCACTGGACAGTCCTGGTGTGCCATCCTGTGTCACATGTTCGAGAACAAGAAAGCCACGGCCCCGTAACCCAGCGGGGTTGCATGAGCTGTGGAGGTACTTTGCTGCTGCTGCCACTGCTGGTGACAGAGTTAGTCATTTGCCCTTGCTTCTTTGGCACGAAGAAACTATAACGGACATCCATGTGTTGAGTTGGATCAGTCGCAAGTATCTGCACGATAAGAATCTCTTTTGTTGCAGAGTGTCCCATTGTGTGCAAGAAATCATCTTTGTGACTCCAGCCACTGTAGTTCATGACAGTCCCGTTGATGTCAATGATTGTTTCTGAAGTGGAGATCATGTATTTTCCATTGACAAGGTACTCACCATTTTTCTTTTTCAAGGCCAGGTAGGCAGTGAACCTGCTCTGGTCCTTAGTCTTGAACTGCCGAACTTTGATGTGGGTTGCCCCTTCCGGGATTTTCACTACATCTGTGTAGCCCTTGCTGAGTGAGGGGAAAAAAAAGAGTATTCAGTAGCTATCACAAAATAAGCCTCAAGTCTTACTGCAACACCTAATTAAGTCACTGGCATGACACATCTTTCTTCATTTTAGTTCATGTCCTGAACCCATCTGGCTTGAGGCTCATCTAACATTAATTTAACCAGGTTCCACTGTTTGTCTATTGTATTGCTGTTTATGTTCTTGAAGAAATTTCTACTGCACTTATTTCAAATTGCTTAATCTTTAGTTTTAGCAACAATTTTACTTGAGTCAGATACAAGAGGAATGAAAAATAACAGATAGCTTATATATTTCAGCAAAGGGTGGGAGATATGAAATACGAGGCATGCTTTGCCTGCCAAGGAAAAGATAATGAGATATGCATTGGTTACAGCTGTTTCTTGCTGTCTTTGCTATAATGATGATTAAGGAAAGTATGAGCAGAGTAACAGCTGGGTAGAGGTACCTTGGGAACTTTTAAAAATAATCTTGATCAGCGAGAAAAAATTTGTTTACTTTGAAATACATAAAGCCAAAGACTAACTGTCACATGCCTAATATGAGGTGCACCCAAATGGTTCATTTGTACCATCACAGAGTTCTCTCTGTTGCTACTGATGGAAAATCTTAATTCAGATTTTCAAAAAGATACTTAACTCTTCTACCAAAAGTGACAAGCAATCAAAACGTTCAAATGTGCTGGAACTTAATGCTATCTCAAGTATATTATTTAACTTTACTGCTATATAGAAAAAATCTAAAGACTATACGTAGCCATAAGCTACCAGATGGACTTTGGAGACATGTATTATCACTTCTAAACCTGGGACAAAACCATTTTGCAAGTATTTCCAATCTGAAAAGCTTAGTGCTGAAACTTATAAGAAAAAAGGAATGATAAATTATACTAAAATGATATAAAAGTGAAGGGGTCTCCTTTGGGAATGGTTAAAGAACAGACTGCTAATTTTGAGAATTTTTGGCTGCACAAGTAAAGACTGCACAGATTAAACACTTGTGCTATTCCCGCGCTATTTCCAGCAGTTATGGGAGAACGACTAAAACTCCATTGATTTAGCACCTCCATACAGCTGAAGGAATATGGTGTAAAAAAAAAAAAAGGCTGGGGGTACTCTGTTCTACAGCGTTGTGCTAATATTTTTGCACAACAGTTGCCAAGATAACTATTAAAACATATATTAAAATTACAGAATCATTTGTTCAAAACCTAAAAGCAATGATGTAGTATTCAAGTAATCTGCACAAAAAACTGTAACACTCCATGTGCACAAAGAAGCACATACAGCTTTAATTATCACTTTCCCAACTTCTGTCAATTTGGCTTTACAACCTTTTAAAAAAAGTTCTTAGGAAGCAGTTTTCCAGAAGATTATGTCTTGATTGCTTTAAAAGAAAAAAAATACAAATGTTGTTATGACAATTGTCTGCAATGGGAAATGCTAGTTTCCCCTTGTACATTTAATAGTTTCCCTGTACACTGAATGTACAGATTGCTATAGTTTGGTTTATAAAAAGCCCCATTCAGCCTGGCCTTAAATACTTCTATACTCGCATAAGGGAATTGTCTCAAAAAGTATTTGCAGCAAAAACTAAATCCTTGTCATTCCAAAATTCAATCAAAATCGAGTTAGAATATACTTGACACTTACAGGGTGACTATTACTTTCTAAGTGGGGCAACTTCTTTAATGCATTGAGGTTGAATGAATATTTCACTCTCTGACCACTCTAATTTCAGTTAAAGGCATGATTTGAGGAGGAAGATGACAATTTCATATGAATAATTATAATATAATTTCTCCAGGTATATCAATGCTACAAATCTGGCCTCACTGAAATTAATGGAGTCCATTTAACATTTTTGCTGGAGCTTGGATTCCAGCACAAGAATCATTACTGAATCCCATGAAGTATATTTCACACTGTCTTCTTCATTTACACATCCCAGACATTTCAATATTTACAAAATGGAAAAGAATTGGTTTATATAATTACAAATTCGGATGGAAAGTTATTCTTTTTGGCAGAGATGTTTTGGCATTCTTAGGTGAGTAATCATTGGTTTACCATGAGGAAGGTTAGGTATGTTTATTTTTAGATTAAATTGACTCCCAAAGCCATTTTTGACAGTTATTAATCAGTATGTCAAAATGTATAGAAATAAAAAGCAATTTCTGGGTCAGATTTCAACTTTTCATAGCTTTTGATATGCTGTGTAAGAATTTGGAAGATATAAACCAAAATCAAGTTTATGAACATTATACAAGACCTTAATGCAGTCACAGATGCTGAGTAGAAATTCTCAAGTACAAGTTGCTAAGAGTAGATCACTACAGCAGTCCTTTGAGACCTTGGAATCTATATAAATGATAATTAAAAATCCTTATGTTTCTATGCATCTTAAGACTTGAAGAGGGAGGGAAACAAGAGTTCAAAAAGAAAGCAGACTTCCTTGACATTGGTATCTCAGTACAAAGCTTCCTGCTGCCTTCAGTGTGGTCACGGAAAACCATGGGGGCAGTTCCTTTTCTTTTACTTGTATTAAGCTTTCTTACAGTTAAAAGCTAAACTCTGACAGGACAGTGTCTTATGGATAACTGCTATAAATATTTTGACTTGAAGTCCATCTGGAGACTGATATCCCAATGGACATGAAGGGATATAACTAATACTGTGCTTGAGCCTGTTTGCTTCTGACATTTAATCTAGTCATCTAAGCTCCATATATACTCAACAGTGTGAAAAGGTATTTTTAGGGTATAATTCCTCTCAGCTTCCCAGCAATTAAGGAACAACTGTGCCCTAATGCTGTATGCTCCTCTCCACTAGCTATACAAGGAATCTGTGTCACTAGATCAGGTAGGATATTCTCATTGTCATTCAAAGTTAGAGGAGATAAAACACATTCTCAGCATGTAACTTGATGCCCTGGGTTCAGCAGCAGCAGTCATTTTTTCTCCTTCTTAGTAGCTGGTGCAGTGCTGTGTTTTTGACTTTTGGCCTGGGAACAGCGCTGATAACACCGATGTTTTTAGTTGCTGCTCAGTAATGTTTATTCTGACCAAGGACTTTGTGAGTCTCATGCTCTGCCAGGGAGGAGGGGAAGCCGGAAGGAAGCAGAGACAGGACACCTGACCCAAAATGACCAAAGAGGTATTCAATACCATGGCACATCATGCCCAGTGTATAAACTGGGGGCAGTTACCCAGAAGGGTTAAATCACCACCGGAGTCGGGCTGGGTATCAGTCGGCATGTGGTGAGCTGCTGTATTCTCTTCCCTTGTTATTTCCCTTACCATTATTATCATTGGTGGTAGCAGTAGTGATTTGTGTTATACCTTAGTTACTGGACTGTTCTTATCTCAACCCTTGGGAGTTACATTCTTTTGATTCTTCTCCCCATCCCTCCGGGAGCAGGAGAGAGGAAAGGTGGGGGGAGTGAGAGAACGGCTGTGTGGTTCTGAGTTATGGATGGGCTTAAAGCATGACACTTGATAACCCAGCATCATATGAGAAATGAAGAGTTTCAGAGATACCCAGATTATTCTGGCCCCAACTTCCTGATTCACAAGCCATCTAATGCGGTGAGATTATCATGTCTTATTCCACGCAAACTTCCTATTAATGGTGTGCTCACCTCTATCATTGTCACTTTGTGTCAGAAATGAACTGGGTGCAGTGTTTTGCCAGTTGGTTATTTGCCACTTTCAGGGTAATGTTAAGATGCCACCTGTAAATATCTGGAAAGTGCAATAAAGCACAGGCAAGGTACTTTTTTTGCTTAATCTTCATTTGAAAGTAAATTGCATTTAGAGGCAGAAAGAAATACATAGCAGAGTTACTATTTGCATATCAAAATACATTTACTAACACTCAAGATCAATACCTCTTTTTGGTAAAGGTTCCCATGATTTTTGTGCAGCTGGAATTGTCTCCTCCACACACACCACATTTGTCATACTGGAGCTTTGAACCGATGATGCCATCACAACCAGTTCGGATGCATTTTCCCCGAACGCAGATTGAATTACTGTACGGTCGACATTCAGTACCATCAGTTACCTAGGCAATCAAATGACAGTTAGTTAAAACTGCCATGGAAAAGATTTGCTTTTGTGAATCTGGCTGGCAAAACCCACTTATTTCTGTCACCTACTCAGAGTGCCCATCCTGACAGTCCAGACTGAGTTTCTCTAACATCCCCAGCACAAAAGCAGATAAAATTTAGCAAAGGGCTGAAAGCAATGACAGATAACTACACTGTAAGATGCTAATATGACCTTGGCTTTCATGATGATCTCACAGCTTACTAATAATAACATTACTTATAGATAGCCTTGCATTTGGGCTATCTACATCTAAATGTTAGTGTCATAATATTTAGAGGCATAGAACTGCAAGTGTGGGAGATATTTCAGTTCAAAATAACGAACTGACCACAAGTTCACATCTACATTAATTGGATAATTATTCTATATTAATTGGATAATTATTCTATATTAATTGGCTCTGTAGAGTTACTCTGAACTCTGTTAACATAATTCAGGGTAAAACTGACTGTTTTACTATTAGTACACTTTCTCCCCCAGAAAATCCCATAATGACAGATGACTCTCCAGGCAGAAACCTCTTTATCCACTACTGAAAACAAACTACTGCAGAGAGCACAAAGAGGCCCATATTTTTCATGTATCCACATACTAAGAAGTGGAAAAACTTACCTCATTTTAGAGGCCAGTTCTGGTCCTAAAGTATAACCAGTGCATCAAACAATTACATCTAATCACACAGTTATATCTTTGAATCATATGATTAACTTCTTTTCCCTTGTTGTAGGGAAAGATTTTTAAGATACAGGATACTTCTAAACCGGAGCATGAAATCATGACTGGAGATGCCATTACCTTCTGAGAAAATACCACATAATATCCAGTTCCCTTGGCTCGGCAGGTGAGCTTGCAAACATCTCCGGGAAGTACTCCAGCGTACTTGGGGACCCATTCAACAAATGTCTTGACTCCCTTTGCATCAGACTGATAGCCATTCCTTGCTTCACACTGCTCTTGTCGAAAAGATTTAGCTGTAGAATTATTCACATCATTAGTGACTATTTCAGACCGCATTGCGAATATCATGCCCATCTATTATTCTAATTTCATTTTCACATGATTTTTAAGTTACATTACTTCATCTCTTTACTTAGAACTGGCCTTCAAATTCTTCAACTGTTTTAGCTTAGAAATCTTCCCATGACTTAATAAGCATTAAAGAACTAAAGTTTTCATTACAGTTCATTTTCCAGGACTGAAATTTCTTTCACTCAAGTGTCCTTTCTGTATGGCGTCAGGGTGGGGATGGGGGAAGAATTACAGCATTGTATTAATGATGAATGTGTTGCCTTGGTAATATATTTTGGAGAAACTACAATGGACCTTTGTTGTTGCCTTTCACAGTAGACATTCAACGTTTACTATCTATGAGCACAGAAGCTGGGGCATGAAGACACTTTGGCACGAAGGCACTTACTATTTGCTGGGCAGGGTGTGACGTTGCAGGAGCGGTAGATGGCCCTCTTGCCAGTGCAGTACCGGCCGTTGTTTCTAGGAGCTGGATTATTGCAGTGACGATAAGCAAACTGAACTCCTCCACCACAGGTACGAGAGCACTGTCCCCAAGGTCCCCAGGACCCCCAGTTACCATGGCTTGAAGCCTGAAACATGTGGAACAGTGGGAGGTAAGGATATCATCCAAGTGTGAATAAAGGTGCTACATCTCAAAGTCACTGCTAATGTTCTGAATTGAAGGCAATCCCTTGATCATTTTAATCGGACTTGAGACATCTTAGGAGCCTTCTTTCTCCCAGCAGAGGAAATTTCTGTCTTGTAGCTGCACACTGATGACATCTCATTTGGCACTATGTATGCAAATGCAAAAGTAGGTTTTACTCTCCACAGTCACCTTCAGCCTGTTTCATGGAAGACACACATGCACCAGAAATAGCACCCAGTCTCATGTGCTGCTCTCTTATTTTTTTCTCTTCCTACCAACAGGGCCCCTTAAACTATCTCCAAAGGATTCTGCTTGCAGAATGTGTTCATAAAGCTAATCTATGATTAATTAAATGCAATTATTGGGATGTGTAGGTATTACTCTGAATTACTGGCAAGAGATGGAGTTGTCAAATATTGTTTGTAACTCTGCTAAAATTGGCTACCTAGAAAGAGTATTGCAACACCAGGTAGAAGTATATAATTCCATAAAAAAGGGTATTGTAAAGGCTATAGCTTTATATGAATGACTCTCATAGTTTGCAAATATCTTCATAAATCTCTAGAAGTCCATACCTCTTCTATGTGTATAACAGAAGGCGCAGTGTTACTGTCTACCCTGTAAATTGTGCACCTATCAGTTCTCAAGAGCCTCAGGACTCTTCAGATGTATAAAGTTAACAGAACTCTTGTCACTGGAGGTACAAACTTTTCCGCATCAGAAATTATATTCTGAATGAATGTCATCCACCTTTCTCTTCACTAGTTTAGAGCCCTGAAGCCTTTCAGCTAAGGACTGTAAATTGAATTTATAGATTTAATTTATCTTACAGCCTGTTGCCAAGAAGGCAGGAAGATAACAGGTCCTTGACAATCTTTCTGTATGTCCTGAGACTTGACTTACTGAATGGGCAAATCCTCTACTCTGAAGGGATTCACCCAATTTTCCAGGAATGAAGGCTTTTAGACTTCACGAAGAAAACATGCAGTGTTTTTCCTATAATTCTCACCAATAACACTCCAATTACATGCAAAAAAAATAAGGCAACTTTCAATCTGACTTCCATAAAGTCCTTTTCACTAACACAAAAATCGGCACCTTTGAGGATTATCCTTTCTAGGGGTCACAGCTGGTAACTTACTGAGTAGTATTTCTTCTTGGTTTTGTCAACACATTTTCCCTGTAGGCAGATCCTCCCTTTTCCACATGGTGTTCCCTCCACAGCAGGCAGCTTCTTGGTCAGACAAACCATCTGACCTTGGCGCACAACTGCACACCAGAGGCGAGAGCAGACATCCATACCGGGACACACTGTGTATTCGGGTCCAAACGCCAGTTTGCACTGACGAATGGCATCGTAGGTTTGTCCCGGCAGCTCCTCAGGGCCCACAATGTGCTTTCTTGGTTGGTCCAGCAAACAGTTACCTAAAAGAGCAAACCAACCTATCATTACTCATTTCCTAGTCATACTATTGCAACTGTGGTGTCACCCAGCAGCACACCAGGTGTCAGGCTGCCTATTTCCAGTCTGAGGGTGTAAATGAGAATTACTCATGTTCCTCTGGCTTTTCATTCTGGTTTCCTTTATTTGAGTTGACTCTGAAAACATTCCATTCTATCTACCTGTTTGTGATTTAAAGAATGATCAAGACTCAGGACAAAATAAGTAAAGTTGTAATTTGAATTTTGAGACAGAACATTAGAAATGGGAAAGCTTCTAAAGCAATGTCAGAAAAATCACAAGAAATAGACCTGTAGACAATGACCAATGAGGTACTAGACAGTTTAAAAAAAATCAAAGCAAAGCAAACTAATGAAAGGCAAAGCAAAGGAAAAAGGAAGGGAGGAAAGGGAAAGGGAAAGGGAAAGGGAAAGGAAAGGAAAGGAAAGGAAAGGAAAGGAAAGGAAAGGAAAGGAAAGGAAAGGAAAGGAAAGGAAAGGAAAGGAAAGGAAAGGAAAGGAAAGGAAAGGAAAGGAAAGGAAAGGAAAGGAAAGGAAAGGAAAGGAAAGGAAAGGAAAGGAAAGGAAAGGAAAGGAAAGGACTTCAATGGATCAAAGGAAAAATATAAGCTGCGTACCAAAACTAATGTTGGTGGTAAATCTGGACTGGACTGTTCTTGTATCAAAACTAATGTTGGTGGTAAATCTGGACTGGGCTGTTTTTGTAAGGAAGGCTACTTGACTGCTTCTGTGATTAGGTTGAAGAAGACTATCCATTTTATACAAAAATACATAAATAAGAGAAAAAAGAAGAAAAAATAGCATAAACAAAGAATTGTATACTTGTTTTGAGGTACTGCAGAGGTCAAGATTTGTCTGGCACACTCTAAAAATGAGAATTTACATTTGTGTTCTAGAAGATCACTGATAGATTTTTATTGGTTGTTTTTTCTATTGAAAAGCTCACTTGTTGACATGCAGAAATATTTATTCAGTGTAACCTCTTTTACACTTCATGAAAGGGATATGTGGTCTGGACAAGCTTCACTTATCCTTGGCCAAAATGACTTACCACAATTTACTTCACTTTGGAACCTATACCAGTATTTTTCAGTTAGATCAAGGGTGAAAAAAAGGCCATAACCCCCTCAGTATTTACAGGAAAAGGAATAGAATATCAAGCTATGTAAGTGAATTTAAACAAATCAAATGCCCCACCTCTCAGTGGCTTAGGTTTTTTCCCTCTAGAATACACGGCAATTGTTCTTTTTCAGCTCTAAAGACTAAGGCCAATTAGCCAAATCAGCCAAAAATTCTTTCTGCATCAACACTTACTACCAAAAAACTCTCTGTCCTGTTAAACCTGTTTTATTTGAGCTCTGCTGACCCTGATTTACCCTAACCTTACCTTTAATTTGGATTATGATGATTTTTTAATGCAGACAAGGTGTGCCAATGCTAACTGATAAGCTGAGTGCCATCAGATAAAGATAATTAAAAGTACCCTAGCATTCAAAGTATGTTGTAGCGCAAGTATTAGAGACATAGTGAGGAGTGAGGAAACACAGATTTTCCTCCTGGAGTTTCTAAAAAGGATTTAATTGGCAAAAGTTGCTGTCAAAAATACACTTTGTAAAAGTAAGTAACAGTGGACGTCCCACTTCATATATCTTGTGATGAGGGAGGAAGTTAGTACAGTGCTACAGAAAACACTAGGATGTACCATTCAGTAGTATACACTACTATTGTATATATACTACAGTTTGTCAAACTCCCAACTGGAACTGTTGTTCAGTATTTTGAAACATTGTAATAACACCTAATTTCACCATGACAACACCGCTGCCCATCACTGAGGTCTACCACAACTGACAGGAATAGACATATAAGTTTAGAGAAGAAAGAAAAAAAAGAATCATATCCTTACACATACTTGATCTGTCGATCATTTTAGTTAACAGCTATTTGAATGCCTTTCACATGTGAATAACAAACAGAACACAGGGAATGAGATCCAAACTTCTCCTTAACCAACCAATACTTCTCTGAGAAAACGTGCAATTTCTACCAAGCCAGGTGTTCCAGCTGAACTCACATGATAAATTCAAAACTGAAGATAACAACAGTCCTTAAGGGTTCCCCACAGCCAAAAAAACCCCGCCAAACAGGTCTTTACATTTATAGATCATAGATAGCAGCAGTGTCTATGTTTATACGGTTTGCAATGAAGTGCAGGTGTTCTTACCACCAACTCGTCCAACCTCCTACTTGCAATGGTAAGAAAAGACAAAGTTAAGAAGTTAGAGAATGGTTTACCCTGCCCCGCCCCGGGCTGAGAGGGCAGAAAGGGCTTCAATTCACCATGTTAAATTGCAACATACAGAACACGTATAGACTACTATTCCCATTTTTTGTCCTGAGTATGAAAGAACATCTGTGTGCCCTGCAATTGAGCAACATTGTTGGCTGATGAGTGTTAATTAAGCCATCTCATTATCTCTCCTCAATGTTATGTGTAACGTATCTTGGGGGAAAAAAAAAAGGCAGCCTAAGATCTGTGCAAAGCAGATAACCAGGGTATAAATTAATTAAAATAGAAATAGTCCTTGCACAGAGGTTGCACAGAGCACTGAGCACTCTGAATAAACACAATAAATCACAGCAATCATACCACAGCACAGTGGTCGGCATGGCAATAAAGGCAATTAGTACCTTAGGAGAGGGCTGGCTAAAAGCAGATGGAAATAAATGTCACTGTCTTCTGAGCCTTTTCTCCTTAAATGTCAAACTGCTGTCTGGGATCATCTCATGAGCGTAAAACAAATGGTGATATCATGACAACAATGCTTCTAGTTCTCAAAGTGAGCCTCAAGAGACAGGGAATCAGGCACCTTGATTATCCCCAGGCCTCCTGGTTGACCTTGGAGTACACATTTATATTGGGATTTATTTAGCTGACTTTAACTGTATGTAATGCTGGTATGTGCAACTCAGCCAGATGTCAGATGTTTAACTACTCAGGCAAACTAGTTTATGGTGTAATTCAGCACCACTAATGCAGATGATGAGACCAGTCAAACCACTGATGCCATTGATCGAGATCCCTACGGACTAAGGTGGTAACTTATATACCCAGTTTAGGAGTAGCTATATACACAGTAAATACATTCTATAAGATGAGTCCACTTCCCAACATTCCAAATTTAGAAAATAGGAACATCAGTACTTGATAAAATGATGTTAAGGAATTTGAGAGTCAAAAATATTTTCTGCTACAGCAGTACACAGTGAAAAATCTATCTGGGAAACTTCCTGAAAGCTTTGATAAGACATCGACTGTTCTTTTGTAATAGAACACTGCTCACAGATCCAAACTTCTGGACTTCATCCACATTTCAGTATGCTTACCCATAAGGAGAAGCAGATAAAGCATTTTGTTTATTTCCTCACACAAATGCTGCCATGGCCTTTTTGTCAGGAAACACAATTCAAAAGATCAAGCCAATTCAGACCAAAAGCCCAGTGCAAACTGCTTACACTGCCTACCACAGAATGGGAGTCTTCTCTTGTTCAGGATTTCCCACATAAGGTTCCTATGTCTATGCAAAATTCACTCACAAACATCCTAAAAGAAAGCCTGGTATCCTTTTGTTGCAACTGCTTTTTTCTGCCTTCCTTATCTACACTGCACCTGCAGTACTGCTCAAAATTACACCTGAATGGTTAAGGTTTTTTTTCCTCTACCTACCGGCACTTGAGAGAGATAGGATTTTCTTCTTTCTATGAGAAGACTGCAGGGGAGCTCCTTCTTGAAAACAAAAAGGGAAGGAAAACACTGAACTGTATGACAGTACACCTGCCCCAGGTAAGGAAAAAGATGAGCAACCCAAAAAGCAGAGACATTGCTTATTCTGAAGGAAACACGGAAACACAACACATTTGCACTGTTTTTTTTTATCAGGCCAAAGCAGTCTAAAAGGCAGCGTCATGCTCTGCTAGGATTCTGTGGTTTCTGGTGTGCTCAGCGTACATTACAACTGGGAATTATGGAGCTATGGCTCATTCACTCGCTGGAAGAAGAAAATAAAACCAGAAATTCCCTTCCTAAAATAGCGCATGCCTTTTCAGCACAATAATTTGAAGAAACTGGAATTTAAACCACTGATTTCCATTTTTACTTCACAGATAGCGTTTGTATTCTGTTAAGACAAATCTTTGATATAAAATAATACTTGAAATATTATAAACGTTAACAGAAAAGGAAGACTACTAATTGGAAAAGGTCCCTGAAGGCTTGATTCATCAAGTGAAGAGACTCCCTGACCGTTGTATGCTTGAAATCACACCAATAGCATCAGTAATAAAATTAATTCCCAGAGGACTATGGACCTCTATTTGACAAGAGGTTCTATGAATTATTTCATCTATGAATTATTTCATCATATCAATAACTCTTTCTGACTACATGCCTGAGTGAAAAATACTCGTGAGTAGAAAGGTCAATGTACCCTAACCCGTCCGTTAAGAGACTGACAGAACCTAAGCCCTTTACGTGCAGTAAAGAATATGTGAGTTTGTGAAGTGTCAGCAGCTGAGGACTGCCCAACTTCTTGTACAGGAGGAAGTCAGCACTCATGATGAACCGTAATGCAGCTTTGAAGGATGTGAAGCTCCTATCTACTTTTACTGAAAAAAAATGGCAGAGACGTGTAGGACTGTTTGCTACAGCCCTCCCCCCCCCTTTTACACTGAGGCTGGGTCCAGCTCATGGACAAGGGTCCAAATTAAAAGCATCCACCCAGCTTTAAACAAGCCAAAGGTGAGGAGGCTGGAAAAATGCTCTCTGTTTTCTTGTTTGCTGGAGAAAGTAACTATCTGGATGCATAGTAAAGAGAAGAATCAGGTCACATAAAAAAGCCAAAAAAATGAGAACAACCTTTCTGCTCACCTGCAGCAGGAGAGGAACAGAAGAGGAAATACAGTTTAGAGTTCTTTGTGCTAAGAGGGCATTCATGGATGGCAAGGGAGGTCCCTATTTTTTACCCCACTGAACTGAGCTGTACCTCAGTAACTAACCTCAAAAAAGAAAGTTTTCTTCATATGTGAAAACTGACTTGGTAATATTAAGTCAATGCCAAAGCAATATGGACCATAAACCAGGACAGTACAGATTAATGGACCTAATAAAATTGTGAGAAAAAATGAAGTCATTCTCTAATAGAGGAAAATGGGAGGAAATATTTCAGAGAGCACTGAAATTAGGCGACAAAATGCTTAAAAGCAAGAAAACTTTTACATTCAACAGACATACCATACTTTTTATCCATAAGCATTTTGGTTACTATAACAACTTGATCCATTCACTCAATTATGTCATTTTTATCTCAGCATTTTGGAATTTGAAAGGTTTGTTTAAGAACTGCAGTTGCTTTGGGAGCACAATGAAGACTTTAAAAATCATTAAAAAGTGAAGATTATGCTTTTTATTACTACCTTTGGAAAATGAAAATTTTGCACTTACTCTCCAAAAGGTAAATGACATATTTAACATATTAGTTACATGACTTGGAAGCTAAGCTCCTGGAGCAGAAGTAATCTTTTACCATATACAGCACAGAGGAGTCTTAATTCTTGCTTACATGCCTTCTACATAAACATAATAAATACAATGGCATTATAAACGTAATAAATGTCCTTAATAGCAACAAGAACACATATACTCTGCTCATATCTGTAGTCTAACACTAAGTAGACCATATCCCCCAATTTAATTTCTGTGAGGAAAAAGCTTGTATCCTCTGTTTAAAATACTCTCTGAGCTCATATCTGCGGCATCTGGGGGGACAAAACTAATTTCATACTTTTAAAAAAACCTCTCCATGTTCCAAACCAAATTATTGCCAATACGCATTCCATCAACTCTTTCTTTTCTCTTGCATCTGAACCATGCAAAGGGAGGGTGAGACTCTGTCAGCCTTTTAGACCTTTGCCTTGTTTTGCAAGCACTTCCAAGACAGTCCTGAGAATGAGCAAGGAATGAACAAGCTGGTATAAAATGTTCTTATTAAAAAAAAAAAGAAACCACAATAAAAAATAACATGTAGCTGACATATGGTGTGGTAATACATACCATGACCATCATCAAAAAACTCTGTTATAGTTGCTGAAGTGCATTTCGACCAGGGTTTTGAGGCATCGATGCTAGTCAGAATGGAGGACATCAGACGCTTATCTTCCATGGAGCCAAAGTTCTCCTCACAAAATTTGGAATCATCATGGGAAAGCCCAAGCAAGTGCCCTGCAGAAATGAAACAAATAAATACAATGATATGACTATCCATAAAAGAGTTTACCAGCTAAAGCTCACAGTCAAGGTCAAGTGAACTGTATAATTAATTCTCAAATTCTGAGCAGCAACCCAAAGCAGGTCACTTGAAACTAATAATTCACTATAAAGATGCTCTGCAACTGTACAAAAAGGTGCTATAGCATCTTTCTAAAGGGTCAAAAATGTTAATATTTATGGAGCAACTAAACAAACTGTATGTAAACTGTTGAAGTAAACTCCTTGCTGAAGTCTGAGTACCCTCTGCAATACACCAAACAGTCTGAATAATGATTTCAAATTGTTGCTTCCATGTAGAGTCTTGTTTTGTAAGAAGGTGCTTTCTAGTATTGCTTAGGTTAGGTTTTTAGTTTTGTTCAGTTTTATTTTTAAATGTATACAGTATTTGGTATTTATACTCCAGAACACAAAATAATTTGCATGCAAAGCAGCACATGATAGAACATGTAAAACCCCTTAATGCTCATGGGATCTCAGACCACTGCTAGATCAGCTTTTCTAAGTGTGACTGCAACTTCAGTGATCTCCCCCTTCTCTAGTCTCTGGGTGACTATAGATTGCAGGCAACACATCGTTCCCTCTCTAAAAATCAGGCTTACCTTTAATTTCTATGCTCACACTGCATTATTTCACAGCCAAGTTACTATCCAAGAGGTAGAAGACTGAATGGGAACCAAAGCTGCAGGGAGCTCAAGCCTGAACTTAACATTCACAGTCTTCAACCTAGGCCGGGAGATGATTAATAAGACATCCAGGGCTAAACTAAAAGTGCTTTAATAATAAGGACAAAGACCACTCATCAAAGCCACTACAGAGAAATAAATATGAGGCCCTTAAATAGCAGCTGAAGAGATGCATTATTCTGCAGTAACTAAAAGCCTTCTACATATTATCGGCTCCATGTTTTTTTTTAACTGCTGTAGACTAGCTGTAAGGTGACAAAAGTAGAGACACTGATGGCAGGATATCATATTCTGATATCCATAGTAACAGGCATGACAATAGTAATAACAACAATATTATCTACAATATGGGCTGAGAAAGAAAAAAAAACAGCCAATTTTACTTACTTGCCTTACATAAACTTGCTGTTTTGTTTTTTTCACATGCTTTGGGGGAGCAGCCAAGAGGAAAGAGATGAAAGCAGCACTCACTGCTGAGCAGTATTTGGGATTAGGAAAGCAGCTATCTGACCAGAAGTCTGTGAGAAAAGCCAAGGTATCATCTGGCAGCCTTACTCACATGCTGGGTTCCTGACCTAATGATGGAGTTACTGGAAAAGTGACAAGAGGACACTGATGTACCAGTGATGACAAAACAGCCAGTCTGTTCTCTGCAGCTGTTGCCTCCCCACTGGAGGTGAGGTGGGAAGGAAAATGAAGGGGGCATTTATCTTTTATTCTCTCTTCCCCTAATGGGCACACATTTACCAAATTCATTCAAATAGTTACTATTTGAATAAAAAGCCCTGTAGTATTATAAATGCTAGTAAGAATTTATTCAAGGAACCAGTACTCCCTTCCCTGTTACTTCTGTTGCTGATTGCTACGGCAATCAAGTACATTGCTGCAAAAACATATGAATCAAACTGTCATACTGAATGCGTACCTAATTAGTGGTGGGTTTTACATGCAAGATTTGAGCTTATTTTTTCTGATGGGTAAAAAAAACTTTCCTTTGACAATACTTACAATAATGCAGGACAGATAATGCTATTTCTATTCTGCACTGAGGCATGGCTGAGTATCAGTAGGTACACGTAAAGTTTCAATCTGATATAGCACTATATAAATACTTGCTTTGAAGAGAGGACATCTTTGTTTTATTTAAATCAAATGCTAGTGTTGAGCAAAAAAATATGATTTCAAACAGATGCATTTCTCTGACAGAGTAACCAAATAATCAGTGCATCACTGCTAAGCTATAGAGCAAATTCTTTGGAAGTGTCACAAGCTAAGCGTTTAATGAATCAACAGCTACTGTGCCAATGAGGACTACCTCTGACTTTGCCAAAGTCCCAGACACCAACAATGTGCGTTGTCAGGAAATGCAAAGATGATGTTATTTTTGGCTGCTGTTCTATATAGTGTTATCACTAGGTTTGTATTTACAGAAATGCACTAAATGGCATCAGGTCACAACTCATGTCTAACAACTATGAGCAGAGCTGACAGGTTAATGAACCACAACACATGCTTAGTAGTAATATAACTAGAACCATTTTCTGCTGACATTAAGTAACTCCTTGTAGCATATTTCACCAGCGTTCTGTTAACTTAAGCAGACATTTACTAGAGAAGGCTTTAGGCCTATCCTCTAGCTTTTGCTGACAGACCCCTCAATACAGGGCACAGCTCGTCATTTAAATCAGGACCACACACACTCTGCTTTGCAGAGCTGGTCAGGAGTTTGAGCCAGCTTCTTCTATTTTACTTGAATCTATGCACTTGAATATGCATGAACTACCAATCAATTAAACACACAAATATTTGCAAATAAATAGACCAGCAATCAAGAAAACACTATGTTGGTTAGACGTAAGCCCTGCTACAGCAATCTTCTCTAACTTGTATGCTTAAAGGTTGCAGAGAGAATGATTTTGTATTTAATGCCCCAAGAGTGCTCATAGTTGTAGAAATTACTTCACTGCAGCATGCTTGTGAAATAAGGTAATGAGGTTCTGTCAGCTGAAAAGTAGTTTCATTCCTAAGTCATTGGACTCTGTACTAAACAGCTCTGGGTGAATAAGAAAAGCTGGAGAAGTGTTCTAAAAAGTTCTGCTGAATAACACCACATGGCACACAATGCATATTCAGTGTAGGGTATGAATAACAGTTGGGTGCAAACCACCAACTTGAGAACTTAGTTTCAGAGTGCTCAACATTTTATAACACCATTCAGAACTACCCAAAACTCTGTGATATGAAGGGCTCAGTCTGTAGAGGGAAATTCAAGTTACTTAACCTTAACAACCTCTGATAACACTGCAACGCTCCACCCATTTGAGACACAACTTTGCTCTCTATACAAATACTTTCTTGCGTAACTGTACTTCACCTTTCGTAACTCTTGCTCTCTTGTGACAGACATCCCCCATGAGCATACAACAAAAGACTTAATACAGTGCAGATATGCACTTTAGATACGCAGATATGCAGATAACAGCCCCATTAACGCCGATGATTTTGAATGTGCAATTTGGACATCCCTGAGTTTGTCTGCTACCCATGACATTCTTCTAACATTGTTTTGTGCGTGTAAGTTCCTCCTTGCACCAACTTCATCAGACCTGGCTTTGGAAAGACCTCTCCCTCTTTCTTACATGCATTTTTCAGCCCTAGCTCCTTCTGCAGTGCAATTTGTAAGCAACCCCATCTTAGATTACCTACTGTCAGAGCAATGTGGTCACACTACATTAAACTATGCAAATCCTACAGCCAAGCAATGTGAATATCCCTGGAGAAGGCCAGGAACTACACTGCGCTTGCTCCTGGCTTCTGTGCCTGAAGATGGTACAGTTTCCTTCCCTGTTTGAGAGACGTGCTGACTCTGCAGAGAATAACCGCTGAACTCTGAACTGAAGTTGTTCTTCCTTTCTTTTTCCTCCTTCATACAGACCAAAAAAGTATCCTTCAGATATGAGAAACCTTGCAGCCCAATTTTAAGCTCCTTCCATGAAGTGACTGCAGATTAGTCTCTGCGGAGAAGTTCAGAGTAAATAACTAAAATGAAATGCTTCTCAGGCGACTATTCAGCACAGAACATTTCATCCCAAATATTCTGGCAAAACACAGGAAACTGAAACAGGATCATCTTCTGGAAAGTGTTAAGCTACTGGCTTCACCTTTAATTAGAGTGCAGCATAACATATGTATTTAACAGTGATAAATGGGGTGAACTGAGGACATACTTCATTAACAGTGCCCACTGTTTTGAAGGCATTTTGAGCACATTTAAACCAGATTAAAGCATATGACAAACTTCCAGTGACTCTTAAAATTGGTTTTGCATTTCATTAAAAATAACCAAAATTCAAAATCTCACAGCGATCTGCAATCTCTACATACTGCTTAGCTAAGTATGCTCTCTTGAGCACAGAATTGAGAACAACATCAAGTACTTCTGCACCTGCGTCCTTCATCCTTTTGCATCCAAGAATTAAAGAAGGGACACTTCCCTTCCTCCTTGAAAAGTCTCTCCCATCCCTCCCCTTACATGCATGAATACACTGGCATTATCACACATTTCTCAGGACATTAGGGTGGTTTCTGGCATTTACTGGTGGGAAGAACCAAAATGAAAAGGTTACAGGTGACCTTTTAAGTGACCCTGCATGTAAACATAATTCCAGAGAAAGCTTTGGGCAAAAGTGAAGACTTAAGACAAATCATACAAAGACTTTTAAAAACAATGCCAATTTTAGCACCACACCATTCTGTACTACTATGAACTTCAAACCCGGCTATTGAAAAAAGAAAAAATAGGCTTCCAGCAGCTGTGTAAAATGATGACTGATTGAGAATGGGTTAGTAGATCATCAGATGTTTTCTACTTAATGAAGCATCTTACTGGTGTTGACAGTTCCTGCTGAGTGAAAATGACATAATATAATTTTACCAGCAGGATGGTGTTTAGTTAAGTTATGCTGTAGGAATGCAGAAAATGGTAAAAGAAACAGATGGCGACAAGGCAGGATTTACCCTCATGCAAGTGAAGAGGAGCCAGCCTTCTTGTAAATTTGTTCCTTCCCATACAGCAAAAAGACCAGCCACCTAAATGGACTGACAGCCTTTCCACACAGCCTTCTTTCTCCCTTGAAGCGAGACAGTGTGACTACATCAGTCAACTGTTGAAAGCAGTATGAAAGCAACCTGCAGGCTTTGGACCCTAGTATATTTTGGAACATCATGGGCAAGGGGCTCTTGGCATAACCCAGTCTGTTTATATCCTGA